CCCTGCTATCGGGACCAAGTTTGTCGCTAACGGGGGGTTAGCGCGCAATAATAACTATATATTTGCAATGTGGAGAGTGAGAGGAATCCAACGATACCAAAATCGTCGATATCGGTCATGCGGACGTAATATAGAAAATTACCAAAATTTCTTCTCTGGAGCGAAGGTATATCTACAGAACCTGTATGTATTAGGTCTGTGATCTTTACGTACATTGAAGTATTGTTTCTTTCCTTGAGAATGCCTAAATGGCTTCTACTTTGCATTCCCACACTTAGTCACTAAATAATTTTTCTTGGAGAATCCTCGTGCACATTGCTCCTTTGCATGTACACTCATGTTGTACTTAAATATATTTTTGAGCTTAAGTTTTATTGGAAACCACAGGTATATGGCTCATCCTTTGTATGTACTCTCATGTGCGTTATTAGATTACTTTTCTGTGAGAAGGCTTTTTTGCAAATATCGCAGATATACGGCTTATCCTTTGTATGTACTCTCATGTGCGTTGCTAGATAACTTTTATATGAGAAGGCTTTTTTGCAGATATCACAAATATATGGTTTTTCCCTTGTATGGACTCTCATGTGCTTAACTAGATAACTTTTCTCAGAGAAGGCTTTTTTGCAAATATCACAGATATAAGGTTTCTCCTTTGTATGTAATCTCATGTGTATCACTCGTGAACCATCCTGTGAGAAAGCTTTATTACAAATCTCACAGCTATATGGCTTCTCCTTTGTATGTACTCTCATGTGCCTTACTAGATAAATCTTATGTGAGAAGGATTTATTACAAATCTCACAGGTATATGACTTCTCCTTCATATGTACTCTCATGTGTTTTACTAGAGAACCTTTCACAGAGAAAGCTTTTTTACATACATCACAGACATATGGTTTTTCCTTTGCATGTACCCGTATGTGATTCACTAAGCCAGACTTATCTGAAAAGTTTTTATTGCAAATCTTACAGCTATATTGTTTTTCCTTTGTATGTACTCTCATGTGTCTTACTAAATGACACTTTTCAGAGAAGGCTCCTTTGCAAATTTCACATATATATGGCTTCTCCCTTGTGTGTACTCTTATGTGTCTTAATAAGCAATATCTATCTGAGAAGTCTTTATTGCAAATCTCACATATATATGGATTCTCCTTTGTATGTATTCTCATGTGCCTTACTAACACATTTTTATGTGAGAAATCTTTGTTACAAATTTCACAACTATACGGTTTCTCCTTTGTGTGTACTCTCATATGACGCTTTATAAGTGATTTTTTATAGAATATCTTGCCACACATTTCACATAAAAGATGTTTCAATTTCCTATCCATTTTTCCATGTGTAGCCTTCTGATCTTCCCTCTGTGTTGCCTCACCCTCAGCCACAAATGCTCTTGACAAAACGTCCTTGCCATCCTCAATAAAATCACACATGTCTTTTTCATTTGCTTCATGCTTGAGGTTTTGAAGGTTCTTAGAGAGAAGAAATTCATCTTTAACTTTCACTTTGCTCACTTCATCCTTTGCTTCATCTGCATGATCATATGGTTCTTCCTTTATTTGCACATATATCTCTTCAGTGACACCATCACTGAGCTCTTCTTTGATACTGACTCCTGTGCCAAATGTTTCCTTGTCCATGAGTGGGGCCAAAGGAATCCGGTCGGGGAGAAAACTCATTGTTGCCCTGTGAATGGAAAATAGAACAAGGTTAACAGAATGCATATTAACCCCTAGCCGATGGGTGGTATGTACGTACATGCCATGGATGTTGTGGACCGAAAGAGGGGTGGCATCATGTCATGCCCATTCCCGTGCCACTGGCTCGTCAGACGGAGTTTGTTTTTTTCCGATAGTAGTGGCTTCTTTTATATGATAAAGATTTTAGGCAATGGCACCTATAATAAAGGTAAACCTTCAAAATCTTAATATTTTTATAAATCATAGCAAACATAAATCGGGCGCAAACAGGGGAAATTACCGATGCGTGCCAACAATTCCGTCCATACGTCCACTTGCCAAACATTTTTACCCGTTGGCACTGGGTTAACATGACTAGAATGCAAAAAAATATTATATATAATAATAAATGTAATCATTAAACGAGTAAATGTGGAAATACAAATGCTAGAAGCGGTGACCAACTGTGATGGACTAAGGAACGACAGTCATTTTGATACTAATTATTAATAAAATACTGAAAATACAGAAGCTATAAAAATCAATGATGGAAATTCTAATAAAATTAATATCATTACTAAAATTAACAATTGGAATTAAAGCAATATTGATAAATGAAATACACATGTGTTTATAAACAAATCAATTTAATTATCAATCTGTCTATCCATCTCTGTCTATATTCCTCTCTCTCTATATGTATACACACACAACACACATCCATATACATTCACACAATTTACATATGTGTGTATATATATGTATATATATACACATGTATGTATGTACATATATAGATAGATAGATAGATAGATAGATAGATGGATAGAGAAGATAGATAGATCTATATATACATATATATATACATATATATGTACATACAAATATATATATATACATATACATATACTATAATGTATTTTTAAAATTGATGAGAGTGATAATGATAAGAATACTATCACTGTAAAATAGTATTAACTCCCATAACAATAAAAAAGTTTCAATGATTTTACAATAAAGTGTATAAATAAAAATAATGATAATGGTATTTTGGTTATTCACGTTAATGACAAAATTATTCTAAAAGACCTGGTTATCTGTTTTCTTCTTTATTAATAACCAAAAAAGTAATATACAGTTGCTAAGTGAGTGTACATTCACACACATATAGAGTGAGAGAAATATCTATATAAAATTTATGACATTTGTATTGGTAATAAGGTTAATAAAAATGATTATGTCAACAATGATTACAATAAAGAAAATATTAATGATATCCAGTAAAAGAATAGAAACTAAGGATAGATTTTGTGATATACATTTTCAGTGAAATCAGCAGTAATAGGAGTAATATAAATGAATTGCTAATTAAATGTTCATATATATATATATATATATATAATATATATATATATATATATATATATATATATATATATATATATATATATATATATATATATATATATATATATATATATTATATATATATATATATATATATATATAATATATATATATATATATATATATATATATATATATAATATATATATATATATATATATATATATATATATATATATATATATATATATATATATATTATATATATATATATATATATATATATATATATATATACATATATATAATATATATATATATACATACATATATACACATATATATACATATATATACACATATACACATATATACATCTATCTATCTATCTATCTATCTATCTATCTATCTATCTATCTATCTATCTATCTATCTATCTATCTATCTATCTATCTATCTATCTATCTATCTACATATATATATGCGAAGTAATATGAAACAGCTAAACTCATTCTTCCATGATCTTTTTACCCTATGGCTTTACACTCTCTGCACAGCCAACCTTCCAGCAGCTGAGTGACTGTACGTGCCTTCCCTTGGGTCTCAACATAGAAGGCTCCTCACTCACGGGAACCCTGCTTGAATGGGTGGGAGAGACGCGGGCTGAGTAAGGGAACTCGAGCTTCTCTGCACGTTGTCTGCAGTAAGAAGGATGGGAAAAAATTTAATTTTTTGTGTCAATATTAGCGTTATACTCATATAATGAATAAATAGTGAAATGATATCAATAATAATGAAAAAATGATAATAGCTCAAACTGAAAATGATATCTTCACAAAATATTATATTTTGACAACTATCACAATTTTGATAATAAAAATAAATATTCAAAAATGTTATCGGAAGTTATTTTGTCATAATAATGATATCAACATTTCTCATAAAAGAAATGGAAATGTTAATGATCATCGGAATTATACTGATAATGAATTAATGATAATAATAAAGACAATTGTAATATTAACCCATCCATCCCGGGTGTCACATATATGAGACACAAGGAAAAAATTAACAGTTTCGGCCTGCCCGCCAGTCCGATGCTGTCTCGGAGCCGTGCTCTAGACTCCGGGGAAGCTCCGCCCGCCGATTTTGTAGCTTCCCGGATTTTTTTAATTTGGTCTACAAAATGTACCCCGGCGTGACTGGGTTAATAGGAATAATTTGTACAGATAATGGACTACTAAAGGATACTGCAATGAAGAAATGTGATGATATTAAGAACGTTAAACCATGATTTTACCCAGCATGGGGATAAAAAGAAAATGTGAGTATTATAAAAGATTTGAAACTAGAAACAGAAAACGTTTCTTTCATATTGATCACATATTGAGTCCTCTACAATCAAAATAGCAAATGATGTTATGACATAGAATTTCTATACTAATATAAATGAACAACAATATAAAGCTGGCCAATTAAGTTTCATTTATTTAATCGCAATGTTGTTTTTGTTTGTTTTTGTTTTTTCTAATGTCAAACATCTTCCCTTCATGATATAAAAAACTAATAACATAAAAAATGATATTCTACTATAAGTAACAATAATAATAAAAATAATGGTTATATCTATAATGATGATTAAAAATTTCTACTGTGAATAGTAATAATAATAATGCTACTAATAAAGTTAAAAGTGGTGATAATAATATTGATAATAATGATGCTAGCAATGATTATAATAGTAATAATGATTCTAACAATGACAATGCTATTCATAATGATTATTAATGACAATGAGATTAATGATAGTAATATTGATCATAATTGTGAAGACAATAAAGAGTAATAACTGTGATGACAATAACTACAATAATGATTTTATTTCAATTAATTAAGTAATTTCTCTTATATATATATATATATATATATATATATATATATATATATATATATATATATATATATATATATATATATATATATGTCCAGGTGTTAATTTTTCATACATTAAAATACTAATAGAAATAAATGGGAACACCTGACAACTACCTGTTGCCATGGAAACCCAAGCAACATGTGGCAACTCTTGGGTACTTGTGCGTATGAGTGTGACAATCGGGCAGGTGGGTACGAGTCACAGACACTCTCTCACAACTCACGGAACAAATGGTAGCAACCTGAGCTGCGACTGAAGATTTTAGAAAATCACTGCTGATCGGCGCCCTGCAGGCTGTATCACCGTCATTGATATTTCAATATCTCAATAAGCCTCAACCTCATACAGTTTCAAAAGAAAAGTACATGAGTAAATGAACATTAGCCACAGAATTATGTGTCTAAGATCCCTTTAAATATAAACTTAAACAATTAACATGAGAATTTGAAGCAACTATGGAAAAAGAAAACATTGATATATATATATATATATATATATATATATAATATATATATATATATATATATATATATATATATATATATATACATATATATAAACTTTCAATTGGATTATAAACTTTGAATTTCCATTAATCTGAAGTTAATTCAATGAGTAACTTTATACATATGAAGATACAAAAGAATTGTCAGATCTTGTCAAGAATGACACCGGGATTATTAATAAGTGAACAAAAGAAAACATGTAAATCATGAATAATTACAGACTTTGAAATTTTTGATAAAGAAGACTTTGATATAAATCTTGATAAGATCTAGTGCCCCTAACTAGGGCTGATGGGGGACCCTGCCCACCCCCGCAAACCTCTCAGCAAACATTGTCCTCTTCGACCACAACTTTTTGTCCTCTACAGGAATATCATCTTCAGTTTGCCATGCCTTAGTGTATCCATTTTGTAAATATTAACAAAATGTTTTTGTCATTTGTATGATCTACACCAGATGTCCATCAACCCACTTGTTAACTAAGATAACTATTTCTCCTAACCTTATGTTAACATAAAACACAGCCACTATAAGGGGGTCTAGACACAGAGCCCTCCGCTGGGGAAATATTTCCATCAGAAAAGGTCTTGCAGACCTACGTTCAGTCCCATGCCCGGCCAGTGAATGGGAACCCCGGCCATCCATTGCATACAGGGGGAGATTTGGAAGCAAAATAAAACAGACAGTATGTCACAGCAAAGCATATCCACTATTACAAATGGAATTAAAATTAAATCTTTAAATCTCTCTACTCCCCCCTCCCCCCAAAAAAAGAAAAAATGCAGAACTAGTAGATATGATGAAGAATAAGAAATTATAGAGAATTAAATTAATTTCCCCTGAATTTCCCCAAAAGCTCTTATAGAAACATGGTGCAGCATTGTTGTTCTTTACAGGAGCATCAAAAGGAGTCTGCTAGTGGCAGTCATTCAGGTGCCATCCAAAGATTTACTCTAATGATCAAACCTAAAGGCCAAAACACGACTCTTCATCATATACATGACCAGTGCAAACTGTAGGTAAATTAAGAATTAAATCTATATAAGCTGGAGTTGCAGTTCAAGATCTCCTATGACCACCACTGCACTTCATACTAGTAAATGTCAAAAATCTCCTCAAAACGTAGTGTGGCACGAGAAAATGTCTACTTATTGACTTTTTTTTTCTTTATCAAACAAGGAACCAATCCTAACTCTATTTTGTCAAAAGAATTGTACTGATTGTTCAATTTTGAATATGATTACAGCAACTTTATTCTACATAAATACATTATCAGTTTCTATTGTTTTCTCTCTACGTTCGTCTTTCCCTCTTTTCTTTACTTACAATCACTCCTTTTCATTTTTGCGCGTACAAATCTTCAAAAATATCTGATAATTTTGTCCCTCTTTCCTCCTTTCTTACTACATTCAATTATCTTATTTACCTGTTTACTTCTTCCGCCACACCGCAATGCTCGTGTTTTTTCTTGGTGGAAATCCCATAATAAAGAACAAACCGCTTGGTAATAAATTAACAAATTATTGATGGCGATGTAGATGAAACGTTTGTTTGGGTCGGTGTCTTTGTTGCCGTTCGTGTAAGTGAATCCGGACGCCTGATTCCCACACTCAGAAAGAAAACCTTTACAGAAAACGGTGTAGGAGGGACTAACAAATTTCAAAATTATATAGTGAAAAGACAATACCAATTAAAGCGTCCGCTCTACATATTCCGAGGAAAGTATAATAGTATTATTGACTAGTGTTCGTCCATGTTGGTAAAGTTCACAAACCTCGTTATCTCGAACCGTACTGAATGTAAACAATACTGTGAGCTTTCTGAAAAGTTCATAGATGTCACTGTGTATTCCCAGAAAATTTTGTATATTAAAAAAAAAAAAAATGATAATAGAATTATCATACTTCTTGTGTTTCATATGTTCATAATATTTATCTATTTCTCTCTCTCTCTCTCTCTCTCTCTCTCTCTCTCTCTCTCTCTCTCTCTCTCTCTCTCTCTCTATATATATATATATATATATATA